GGAGTATCAGTTATATAGAAGTAGGTCCCAGTAGTAGATCAGTAGTGGCGATCCCGTCGAAGGAGTGGTTTTGTACCCCAGGGGACAAAGATCGGAAGTTCAGTGAGGGTAAGGTGATTAAAGTTTGAACCAGGGACAGAGGTACTGCGTCATAGTAACGCAGTTGATCTTTATTTAACAAAAACCATTAATCATTATTTGATATATTACGCGATAGTGCAGAGCGTAAGAAATTCTTTATAGCGCTAAGTTAAGACAATCAGAGGGGCATTAGCGAGCACGCATTTTCGTAAAAACCATTAAAACTCGGCTCGATCGATTCGAGAGGCGAGTTACAGTGGCTTCTACGAAGGGTAGAAAGCTGGAGAAGGAGAGGAGGTTGTGGTTGCGGTAGTGATGTTTAAGTTTAGGAGGGGAGGGGGTTCGTAACGGAGAGCGAACGAAGCTGTTCACTGCAAAGGAGCCGAAAACCCCGTATGTGGAAGCAAGAAGTAGAAACAGAGGTGAAATTCGGGGGAAGTTTGAAAGTATCATGCCGTATAGGTTATGTAGGTTATGCTATGTAGGGCTTGTGCAGGTTTTTTCTGTTCAGCCTGGAATTTTTTGTTGAGAGAAGTAGCGAATTTGAACAGGACGCTAAAATCTTATACAAAAAACCCAGTACTATGGATTTTCGTAGCTCAAACTCAAAAATAAGTGCATTCTGCGCGATCGAGCGGAACCGAATTTTAGTAGTTACCATTAGTGCTTTTGTTTAGGAGCCTTTTCAGTGTGTATAAATATGACTTCCCAGTGTGTGTAGACACAGCATATATGGGCAATCGGCAGCCCGCGGATGGGATCGGAATGTGGTGCCTAAATAGGCGAAAGGGGTTTGTACTCCGCCATGCGTTTGCACTCTTATGAAAACAAAATTGAAATATGCGCAAGGCTAACAGACGACAGCCTGGAAAATACTTTGAGATTCTGTGCCAGTGATGTAAATCCAGCTTCTAACAATCTTGTGTCAAAAGTTCAAGCCCAAAGTTCGCATTAACGTGCCGTTGATTTTTTTGAATGAACAATTTGATGGAAACTTATCTAGTTTCATCGTTTTCGCGTCTTATGCAAATACAAAAACGAATAATGTCGAGAAGATACATGTGTGTGCTCAGAAACGAGTGAACTTTGTCACCCACTTTCATCTCAGCAACGAGGACAGCCATAATGAAGCCACACTGCCGTCCCAACCGAGAAAAGACCAAAACACATGCACATGAGTTGCGCGTGTTAAACTGTAAAGCAACAACCACTCATAATGTTAACGACCTGACTGCGTCAAGTGAAGCGCAAAACGCATGATCGCACGGACAGGCCTGGTGCGTTGCTACCTGGGTTTTATTATGCATTTTTTGCTGTGTAACAGCAGTACAAAACGCATATTGTCACGGGGTTGTCTATGTGTGCTTGTG